TCCTCATGTATGCCGGCTTTGTTCGATTGGGTACTCATTTGCTTTGTCACCGCATGTTACAGACTGAAGGCTATATTTATCGGCGTTGTCAAGGCATCAATACAACCCCTTGTAGGACTGGTCGGCTACAGGGCGTCATGGGGGAGCCTGTCTAGAATATGGCAAGAAGGAATACGCGACCCAAGCGAATTGGAGGAGTTGGTACAGCCCGAGGCGGGAGAGGCTAGCAAAAGAGTTTCTGGCCGGCAACAGACGTGACTATCTTCATTCGGCTACTGCATGCATACTGAATGCTCTACCCTCAACCTGCAGGTCAGTTCCATGGGGCAAAAGGGTATGCTAGTGGGCCGGGCGGTCAGGAATGTTTGATTTAAAAAGCAACGTTTGGTAAGCTTCTTCTTGGGGAAGAGTAAGTTACGACTTTTTAGCATTTCCGCGAGGCAGGGGAAAGAAGTCAGAACCTGACATGAAAAAGGAAACATGAATTTTTTTACCGACAGTTTGGACCATTTGAGTATATATATATATTTTTTTAAATATATATATATATATCGGTATATATATATATATATATATATATATCGCCTCCAGACTACGGATAAACGGGGTTTCCTGAGTCACTTGAAGAATTGACTCTACGTTTGTGAGGTTTTCGCGATTCATTCGTGTTCTTAAGGCATATTTGAAGAATCTGGCCAGTATTGTTGTCATGTCTTCTTCCACCATCAGATCGTTGATTTTTTTCCGGATTCATAGTCGGCACCGTAAGTGGGCAACGCCGGGCTCAACACTGAGCTCTAAGTCTTCAAATTGACAAGTCGCCAATTGTCTGCTTTATAGTGTTGTGTTACACCTTCTACGTACTAGTCCTGCATCATAATTCTTGACTCCCACTTCGGACGACTAAGTCTCCTCCCTACTACAATTGTTATCCTCGCTTGTTCCACAAAATTGCAGAAGTTCGTCCCTTAAAATGGACTCATATATGTATAGTTACCTTATCGCAGGTCTATCGACTTCTCTGTCGAGCACAGTTTTCTTTATTTATAACCCCTTTACTCCCTAATGCTATCAATTGATCTGCCATTCCAGTTCTGCCTAACCATGTAGTTCCATTCTGCCCAGCTTGCTGTGATTTCATGAACCACCCCAACTATTAAACCCATATTATGTAAGTCAAATGAAGCTATGCCCCCCCTCTCTGTTGTAAAACACTCTGAGAAAAAGACTCAGTTATAAACACGAGGTCAAACCTAGTGTATAAAACGAAGGGCAGTAGAAATCACACCAAGGGTCACTGTGGCATATTTGTGAAAGATTGTGAAAGAAGTGCAGATTGTTTTTTCCACCTTTTCTTAGTTGATTCACAGTAAAAACTTCCTTCATATTCAAGTAAAAAGATTGGGATACACTCCTCAAGTCTTTCCAGTAGACAGAACGTAATTCTTTGAATAATTACGAACGTTATCAAAATTTATGCTGTTTTAGTTTGAAGATCTTCCTCACAGATTGGAAAATTGGCCTCAGCGGAGACCAAATAAGGATGGCCTTACAATTATGATAGGATATTTTAAGAAAATATCATCTGTGCATCATCCTGCAACCCTGATGCATCATTAATGACTTCAAATTAGCTACAAGCCTGCAGGAGAGCAGGAAATGGCCAGCAAACTAATGAGATGCTTCATTGGGTGGCCAAAATAAAGTTGTATACAGATTGCAGGACCGCAAACAACCACCTATTTTGTCTCAGTAGTCCTTGAAGTATTCTAACCACTCGTGTCACCGTCTGACGACATTTGTCCATGCAGAACACGGCAAAGCTCAGCAATTATGGATCAAGGTTGTACGACGATGCGCCGAGGACTTCTTCGCACAACTCCCAGGGACTTCTGTTTCTGGCAAGGTTGATTGGAAAATTCCTACTACTCGATTCTACAAACGTAAGTAAAGTTAAAACAACATAAAGTTATTAAGGGATGTTTCAAAACTATTAAAAAAATGACCTAATTTAGTACATTTCAAATAAATAATCCATTTCTTTGAGGATACATCCAGTAGGACTAAGCAAAGCATTCAGAATTGCTATTTAACAGACTTGCTGGAAATAGATGGAGTGCATAATAGCTGGAATTCAGTATCGCAGAATTCGGTATTTATATTATCAGCATTGCCAACTCTGCAGGTGCAAACAGAGTAGCGACAAAATGAATCTGTTTTATTGGGGCCAATTTCATTTCGTGTCGAAATGCGCAATGAAGAGATCTAAATGTCAGACTCATCAGAAGACTCTGCCAGATATCCATTGGGCAGCTTTAGTTTGATTTTACTTATGTTGACCAATACCCTAAAGGGCAACAAAAATGTTTTTTGGTTTCTGGTGAGTACTACAGTAAGATGGGACTGACCTCGCGACAGAAACTGAGCATGAGATGACATGGCCTCACATTTTTTTTCTTTAGATCTGAAGAACAAGATGGTGTGGCCCTCGGTATGGTTGCAGTCTCCTTTCGACTTAAAGAAGTCGGTTGATCGCGTTTTCGCAACTTGGCCCTGTTGTCGGTGTGACTTAATTGGACATACAAAACTTGCCAGAAAATTGCACATATTTTGACGATTGGAATGTAAGCAAGTCAGAAGTTGTGAT